TACAGAGTGCTTTCTCCTTCTCTCTCTTTGTCTCTCTGATGAGCATTCATCTGCTCTAGCAATTAAAAAAAAAAAATCTTATTTTTTTTTTTTAACCAGAATAAGCCCTTGGGAAACACAGAAATGGGAACTTTCAAATATCTAAGATTTCAAAGTTAGGGACCCAACACTGAACTCAGGCAGATAAAGAAAAGAAAAGTACTCTCCTTTGGGCAGCAAGCTAATTCAGTGGTTTATGGTATATAAAAAATAGAAGCGAAAAATGAGACTAATGTTATAAGTAACACCTTTAATCTACAAAAGGCATTTACACAAATGCCATTCATTTTCCTAACCAGCATCTTACACACTGGTATAAGTCAAACTGTTTTGCAGGTGAATATCTGGGATATAAAAGATATTTCTTCTTGGGGCTGGCAGGTGGAGCAGTGGTTAAGGTGCTGGACTCCCACATGGCTGACCAGGGTTCGAGTCCCAGACTTGGTGGCTTGCCTTCCCACTTTCTCGCTCTCTGTCTCCGTTTCTCTCGGCCAAAGTAAAAAAGTAATAATAATAAGTAAAATTAAATAAAATAGTTTTTTAAAAAAAGATATTTCTTCTTGGTCAACACATTGGAATCATCTGAGATTCAGATTTAATCAGTCAAGAGCAAGACCAAGCATTAGTGAGACTTTTTAAAAATTATTTATTTTACTGTATTTATTATTATTATTATTTTAATTTGCTATAGTGCCCATGTGCTTACCAGAGAGAGACAGAGAAAGAGGAAGTGAGAAAGCAAGCTGCCAGGTCCAGGACTTGAACTGCAGTTCATCGTGTGGGAAACCAGCGCCTTAGCCACCGCGCCACCTGCCTGCCCACTTCAGTGAGTTTTTAAAGCTTTCCAGGATGCTAATGGCAGCTACAGCTCTGAACCACACATGGCCGTATCTATTCCTACAGTGCTCTCCTACCATTTCTTCCATTAACACTAAATACTTTTCCCAGAAGATGGGCTACTTTCCAAATTCTAGGCCAGGCACTCAGAAAGTGGATTCTCTTACACTAAAGCCTCGATTTTTACCATGAAACTACCGTCCCGCTGGCCCTCTGAGCAGAGAACAGTGATTCCTGCCGCTTCTGCAATGAAGCTTCCTGTTTACATTTCTCCCCCTCGTGTTGTGTCGCTCCCACTTTAACCTGCCACCTGAGGTTAGTCCTGCCACCCAGGGCTGCTTCATGGCCTTCTGATTCCTCCATTCCACATGGACAATTTAAAAAATGGAAGCAAATTGCAATTTTTAAAAGAACATACACCAAGCTTCTCTTCTGGGTAAATGTATGTCCAATATGTTGGTTTAGTGTGAGACTAACATTAATCAGTCAAAAAATATGTATTATGTGCTTAGAGGGAGCAAAACAAATACAGGAGAGCCTAGTTGTTAAGGTGACTGGATTCCACATAGCCAACTGCATTGTCTGAGTTTCAGACCCAGTAGATTCAAAAGCATGCCAGGCCCATGTGCATGTGTGCCCAAAATCCCAAGAAGAGGGAGAGATGGAGGAGAAAGGATTGAAGCATGGCCATACCCCTTAGGAGGGTGCTTTCTCCTCTCTGTCTCTGTCTCTGTCTGGCAAGTGCATGGCCACTTTGGCAAAAATTTTTAAAAAGAAAAGAAGAAAGGTAGGAAACATACAAAGAAGTTCTGTATATATTCTCAAGGATCTCACAGTTTCATAAAAGTTAGCAAACTAGCCCACAGGCCAGGTCTGGCTTCCCATTTGTGTGTGTGTGTGTGTGTGTGTGTGTGTGTG